GGTCACAAGCTGACTAAATCTACGATCATTCCATGAAATTTTGTTTGTTCTAAGCCTTGTGGGCTATGTTTCGAAGATGATGGAGGAGAATTTTTAAGCAATTGTTTAATTCTTTGCTTGAACAATAAAAATACTTTTACAGAATATCATGTGTGATCTTATCTGGATGATGAATCCAACGAATAAGAATGTATTATTTGGATGTCTAAGTCAATGAAAGATTTGTTGCTTAAAGAAGTGGTATATTCTAAGTAAGTTGGTGATGGACAGGTGTTCGTGAATGACCAATTCTTGAACTGGGACCTGGAGAACAGAATCAAAGTCCGGATTGTCTCTGCGAGAGCTTACCATTCATTGTTCATGCACAACATGTAAGTGAAAATTAAAGAATAATTTAGCATTGCAATTGTTTGTGTGTTCATCCATCCAGAGAAAAGGTATAAGCCCGCCAGATAAGTGCCCTAACGTTGAAAGCCTTAATTTATTGTGATATAATATATACATCCCTGCTGAATGGAGGAAGAGGTTCCCCCCAAGTAGTGTGCATGTGAGTTTAGTATAGTGTACAATTGGATAACTGGGTGGGTGACAGGTGTATCCGTCCCACTCCCGAAGAGCTGGAGAATTTTGGTACTCCGGACTTCACTATTTACAATGCTGGACAGTTCCCGTGTAACCGTTATACTCACTACATGACATCCTCCACTAGCATAGATCTAAATCTTTCTAGGAAGGAAATGGTCATACTCGGCACACAATACGCCGGGGAAATGAAGAAGGGTCTTTTCAGTGTCATGCATTATCTCATGCCTATGCGTCGAATCCTCTCCCTTCACTCTGGATGCAACATGGGCAAAAATGGGGATGTTGCTCTCTTCTTTGGACTCTCAGGTATAGTATTGCCCCATCAAAGGATGCATCGGTATAATGTGGCTCCACACACCCTACCCTGCCTTCCCTTATTCAGCCCTGCTCAATAATACTCCCCTGCTTCTCTTCTTACATATATTATATACTTGGATCTCTCTTTTACCTTCTTCTGTCTCTTTTTCTAATGGGTCCCTTTTTTATCAATACTCTTTCCTTTAGGTACTGGAAAGACCACTCTTTCTACCGACCATAATAGGTATTTAATCGGTGATGATGAACACTGTTGGGGTGAGAATGGTGTCTCCAACATCGAAGGTGGTTGCTATGCCAAATGCATTGATCTCTCCCGGGAGAAGGAGCCCGATATTTGGAATGCAATCAGGTTTGGCACAGGTATGTATCGATCTCGCACTCACTTTAACTTGTTTAATTTAATCACTCCTAAATATGTAATGCATTTTGACTTTCTTTTCTTTTTCTTCCGATTGATTGGCAGTGTTGGAAAACGTGGTGTTTGATGAGCATGATCGCGATGTTGATTACTCTGACAAATCGGTTACCGGTAAGATATTATCTTTTCTAGAGGTTGACTCCGATTAATTTAAGCTGACAGCAATAGGACTTAGCTGTGCATGGTGTTGCCAATGAAACAGCTGACCTCATACTCGCAAGATGTAATTGAGAAGCAACATCTATTCGTATTATATATAAGACCATGCCATTTCTTAAAATTAACCTCCTCAAACACGGAAGTGACGAGGAAGGAATTGAATAATGAATTGACAAGCATATGACAGATAAACAATTGAACATTAACGTTATTGCTTTAATCAAGCAAGAGGACAAAACTTGATGGGGATCTTTGGGTGCTGCGTCTAGATTTATGTTGTAATCATCCATTACAAGACATCTCTGATGATAATTAATATCATTGCATTACAATTGTTTTGCAGAAAATACTCGTGCTGCTTATCCCATTGAATACATTCCAAATGCAAAGTTACCTTGTGTTGGTCCTCACCCAAAGAATGTCATACTTTTGGCATGTGATGCATTTGGTGTACTACCACCTGTGAGCAAGTTGAACCTGGCCCAGACCATGTACCATTTCATCAGCGGATATACCGCTTTGGTAATGTTTCAAAAAACTACCTATTCCTACCTTACTATTTATTTGTTATATTGTTTCTTCTGTAATTCTAACCATCTTTTACTTGCAACAACTTCAGGTGGCTGGCACAGAGGACGGTATAAAGGAGCCACAGGCAACTTTCTCGGCCTGTTTTGGTGCAGCATTTATTATGCTACACCCTACAAAATATGCAGCAATGCTTGCTGAAAAGATGCAGAAACATGGTGCCACTGGGTGGCTTGTTAACACTGGTTGGTCTGCTGGCAGGTGTGTAATTATAACATTGAAATTGAATTTCTCTCTGATCCTAAAAGTCTTGCAGTTTGTACCCTACGAAATCTAGAACTCACCAGTTTTCGCATATGTCAAACTGCAGCTATGGTCAAGGGAGTCGTATTAAGCTCCAATACACAAGGAAAATCATTGATGCTATTCACTCCGGAAGTCTCCTGAATGCAGAGTACAAGAAGACTGAAATTTTTGGGCTTGAGATCCCCACCGAAGTGGAGGGTGTACCTTCTGAAATCCTGGACCCAGTGAACACAGTTAGTGATCCTAGAGCTATGTACCTTTTTATTCTCTCCTTTGACACGGTCTTTTTCTAACGTTGGAGTCTTTTTTTATCGATTGCAGTGGTCAGACAAGAAGGCCTACAAGGAGACGCTACTGAAGTTGGCTGGATTGTTCAAGAAAAATTTTGAAACCTTCACCAGCCACAAGATTGGCAAGGGCAACAACAACCTGACAGAAGAGATTCTCGCCGCAGGTCCAATCTTTTGAGACAATGATGTTTGGATGGGATGGTAGGATGGGATGTTAGGATGGTAGAAAAAATGTCGCCTTAGAATAATATGGTAGTTTGGTTGGTTCAGATTAACATTTCATTCAAGTCTTTATAAAGAATGCAGTTTACATTCAAGTCTTCATTTGCAATTTTCTTCATTTTTTCACCTCCTTAAGCTTTTACTCGTCGCCACTAGAAGTATAATGCCTACCGGGCCTCGTCAACTTCGATCGATTCTGATGTCAATCATCAATGCCTCAATTTTGGAATCTTAGAATCTAAATGGTTTCGGTTCAAGATCAAAGTAAAAAGAAAAAATGTTTATATGAAGTAGTACAACTCTGCTCGTGAACAAGATAACCGTTTAACTGACTCACACCACCCCACCACGAAATTATATGTGAAAATCTATTTACACAACAAAGTTAAATTAATTATGCGAGATATCCTTTCTCGAATTAGTTTTTTTTTTTTTTTTTGAGATTGAATAAGACTTATAAAATTGAACTTTGATTAGCTTAAAAATTAGTTTAACCTTTGTAGAAGTGTTTAGTAAATGTATTTTAAAATAGTTTATTTTTATTAACATTTAACTAATAACTAACGTGCTGCTTTAACGAGTTTGTTTTTGCCAGTTTCTTACTTATTTGTTTTATTTTTATTTTAATATCTTTTTTATAGTTCTTCATTTATCAGTTTATTATTATTATTATTATTATCTCTTTTTAATTTTTCAATTATTGATATTGAATATTGTTTTAACTAATGTAATAATTTTAGTATTCGTTAGATTATATAATTTTTTAAATTATTTAAATTTAATTTTCTTTTAACATTATAAATTAAACTGATTGATGTTTTATTGCAAAAAAGTTACATCCCATGAAAATTGTGAAAAAGAAATGCAATATAACAAGTAGTTTAAATTAAGAAATAATGTAAATGTAAAATTATGAAAGTAAATGAAAGAAATACAATTTTTTAAATATAAATTAAAGTATTAAAAGTTCAATAATAATTTACTTATTTTTTAAAACAATTTAAGATTATAATTACATAATATATTTTTTCCTATAAAACATAACTTTTATTTATATAATAAAACTTATGTATAATAAAACCATATTAAATATAAATTACGAAAATTAGAATTGTTTTGAACACTAAAAGAAATAGTCTCACGTTAACAAAATAGAAAAAAGACCAAAATACTATTAATCATTGTATTTACTAACTAATTTACCAGTTACCTGACATTTATAATTAATAAATTACCTTATCAACTCAAAATTTTTTAAGTTAAGAATTTATTTTAATTTATAATGTAGAAATTGATTTATCAACTGCTAACTATATAATTTAGTTTTTACAAAATATACTCTCTAATTAATTTAATTAATTTATTTTCCTTAATTGTCCGAAACTTGGAATATAAATGTGACAATTTCTTTTAGCTGGAAATCAAATAAATATAAAGAAATTAGAGAGGTATAATTCACGTTGAAGAAAGATATTCCTCTGGTTGAAGTCTTTTGGATGGTTAACGTGAGTTATTTACTTTTTATTCTCTTATCTTCATGTTTCGATTATTTTGGTGGGAGAATACGATATCATTAAAATTTTAATAATTAAAAGAATATATAAATATGATTAAGAATTTTAAATAAAAGATAAAATAGTTAGTTAGTTATAATTTAAAGAATTAATTTTAATTTAAAAGATTTATTTAAAAAAAAAAGATTTGGTGAATAATTATTTAATTGAAAAAATATTATTAAGTATTGTTAGATATTAATTGATATAATTATATGTTGTTATATTCTTACAAATTAAGTAATGTTTTGAGATATGATTAGTGATGGTAAGATATTCTTAAATGCAGTTATATATTATTGTTAGATAATAATAAATGAGAATAAATCATTATATTTAAAAAAAATAGATTTATAAATATATGAAAAAAAAGTTAAAAAAGAGTTTTAATACATTGGTAGCAAATCCAAGTTATGGAAGAAAGAAAAAAAGTTAAGTTTTTAAAGAAATGAAAGAAAGAAGGAAAGATTAAGAGGTATTAGATCTTACATTCTTTTTATTTTTTTTGGTTTTATTTATATGTGGTAATGATTATGTAATTTATGTTAATTATATATTTTAGGTTGAAAAAAAAAGGTAATTTGAGTTGATCATAATTTGTTTGGTTATGGGTGGGCCAAGGTGGTGCGATGAGGATGGGGCGTGGAAGGAAATGGAAATTTCTGGAACCACAATGTGAAAGACCTTCCTCTCGCCTTTCCCTCCCTTTCAAAATCCTCTGCATTTTGCGCTAATCAACAATTATCACAACACTCAGCACTGCACAAGGTATGCTTCCTCTATTCCCTTCTCTTTCTCAACTCTCCACCATTCAATTCCGTCTCTTACGTCCATAACCTCAGTTTTTCATTCCACTATTCCCATTTTTGCTTATGTTGCTTACCATCTCCCACCCAAATTCATATCAACGTAAGAATTGTTGTCGTTCATACTTTTTTGGCTACGTCAATTTTCATATTCGTCAGTTGATCCCCCTCGTGTGTGCCAAGTTGGAGGGAAAAATCAGGCGTATACTTTTTTTGTTTATTGGGTTCTTGCAAATTATTTTTCCGTAACCCTAATTTCTTTAAATTTTGACGCTAAAGTACTGGGTTTGTTCATGTTGCTTCTTATGTCCTTATTTTAACACTGTCACTTGCAGTGGCTGAGTATTTCACCTTCGAATCTTACCTCAATTTACATTCCTTCAATCATTCGATTTATGATTTAATGTCAAGTTGTTTTGTTGCAGTGGTTCTCACTCTTTTCATTAAACTGCGATGAGGGGCTACGATTCAGATGTAAGTGATTTTCGGGTTTGAGATTCCCACTATTTGTTCCTCAGTTAAATCGGTGTGCTTGCTGTTTTATTATGAAGCGTTTTTGTCTCCTAATTATTCTCTGCAAGAACCACAGGGTTACGATGATTATGAGGAAGGGGGTGAATATGGAGAGGATGGCGAGGAAGAATACGTAGAGGAAGAACCTCCTAAGCCAACAAAGGAAGAACTGCATTACCTGGAACTGAGGCAGAAGTTGAAAGAATCGATTAGAAAGCAGATGAAAAAGGAGAACAGTAATTCCCTTTTAGATTCTACTAGAAAGAGTAAACTTCCTTATGATAAGTGAGTACTCTTAACATCTGTTAGGCATATACATAGTCATGACTGCAAATCAACATTAAATTGGAAGGCTTTGATGAGTTTCAATTCTAATAAATCATCCCATATTAATAGTCATTAGAGATCTAGTTAAAAGAGTGCAATTTCTTGTGATAACAAGTTTATTTGCAACCTTAACGTACCATAGTGTACGATTGCATTGGGGCATGCTAACATTTAGTTACCTTTTTCTTGGTGGTAATTATATAAAGTTGGTTGTTTCAAGAATATAAACCCGATATCTTATGTGCCCACATGTTTGAAACCTACTTTGAGACAAATCTTTAAGCACTTATTTTTAATTTGTTTTATGAGTATTTGCCTTTGTCTTTTTCTGCCTAGTTTTATTTTGTTCTATTAATATATGTATGTTATTTTCAAACCTGTAGCTTATAATTTTGAGGTGTTGTGTTCATCTTCTTACTCGTGTGGCTAATAACTGTGCATGCTTTGTACTCTTCATCAATATGGCTGTGGTTGCTAAGCATTGATAACATTGTAAAAACAGGAGCATTTTCAAAATATTGTTTCAATTTTCTTGTTGCTGCAGTTATGGGTCTTTCTTTGGCCCTTCTCAACCAGTTATTGCTCAGAGAGTAATCCAAGAGAGCAAGTCATTGCTAGAAAACCAGCATTTATCATCCAGGCTTTCTAACTCGTCCCACACTGTATGTATTCAGTGCCTTTGATTTTTGTATTCCATTTCAGTAGTTTTTACGAAGTTCTGTATTGCAGAAGCAATCGTCATTTTGAGCTGTTATGATTATTATATGTCAAGTGTTTTTAATGTGATTTCATGCATTGGCATATTGGTTGTTTGGGGTCATTTGGCAACTGCACTTGTTTCCCTTTCAGTAATGTAACCAAAAATTAAACCAATAAATAAAAGGAAATAAAAAGTAACACTAAAAACTGCTTAGTTGAAATATAGCGTTTGATTCCTGCCTGCTTTTTCCTGCCATCACATGGTTAGACGAAGGTCTGAATGAGTTCTTGATGGGTCCTAAAATAACAGTAAGAGAGGGAATGAAAAGGAAAAAAAATCAGAGTTTATTGTCCTGCCAAGGAAAGAGGTTACTTCAAACAACTGAAATACGTTTCTCATACAATATTCATCAAATTCCCCTCACTCACCTATGCAATTCTATCTAAAGGACTCCACTCATAATTGTTGTTACAATAGTAATAGTAACTTGCTCATTTAACTGACTAATACCCGTCTTCTTCAGTATACTTCTAATATATGAGCCTCTTGGTCTCTAACAGTTTGGAAGGTTTCAATATGTGTCTCTGTGTATGTGTATTAATTATTTTGATGTATATATTTATAACTCTGTTGATAAGTTCTTTGAGATTGACATCCAACTGTGGAACTCCCCTAGAAGTTACTAGTGAAGTGTGAGAATGGTCAGAGAACTGGCATACCCTGCTTCTGTGAACGCAAAACTAAGTTATTTTTTTTCTAATTTGTCCTGTATGTTTTTTAGCGTTATTCAAACTGCAGTAGTGATATGTGTTTGTTTCCTTAATGCCTTTAGCTTAGCTCCTTGTTTTTCCCATTACTAATAATAAGTAGCTGCTAGGTGTTCTTTGATGTATCTATTGTAGCTTTCTGATAATAATTCTGTTTGCAGAACAAAAACACAAATAAAGTATCTAAGGGTGTATTGAACTCCTCAGTTCGTCATAATATTCCACCCAAAGTCAGTGAGGTATTGTGGCTACTGTATAAAGCTTCTCTTGTAGCTTTTAATCTACGATCTTCTGAAATGATTGTGATGAATTGTTGTGTTCTAGCAGAAACAGGCTAAAGCCCAGAAACTCAAGGTTACTAGAGATTACTCGTTTCTTTTGTCTGATGATGTGGAGTTTGCTGCTCCTGAGAGAGAAACCCCATCTCATAAAACACTTGTACATAATTCTGGTAATTTATTGCTTGGTTATAATTTTATGCAGTATTAGGGGTGTTAGAACATACTATAGTGTAATTGGGGAAACTTACAGGGTTTTTTCTGATGTTGAAGCACGGTCAGGTCAAGTTGCTAGGAAGAATGTCAATGGTGGCAAGATTGGCCGTGGCTGTGATGAAAATCGAAAACATGTTACTGGGCCTGGTCATTTGGCTCCTAAATCAGGGTCCAATTATAAGATAAGTTCTATTAACAGGTACAGTAAGGCATCTGTGGATTCTAGAAAACAACTTAGTAGTAACAGTGGGAATGGACTGGTTCGTCCTTTAAAGATGCCTGTTAGTACCTTGGGGAATAAATCATTAGCACCTGATATGAAAAATCCTGTAAATGGAGTGCATAAACCTCTCTCCTCAAAGTTGCATTCTGCAAGTGGTGCTCAGAAGCCTCTCTCTTCAAAGGTGCACTCTGTAAATGGTGTGCAGAAACCACTCTCTTCGAAGTTGCATTCAACTGTGCCAAAGCAGAGTCTGGAACAAAGAAACAGCCTACGAGAACAGAATAAATCAAAAATCATATCAAAACAACCAGTGGCATCAACCAAAGCTCAGGTGTAATGTTATTATATAAATATTGACACACTAATGTTAAGGATTTTTGTTTCCTTTGAATTTGTTCTATAGTTTTCCTTGATAACATATTTATGTTCACTTGCTTGATAGATAAATAAGCCACTTAAACAAATCCCAAAGCAATCTAATTTGCAAGATCAACGTCCTAAGAATAAAGTGAGGAAACGATGCGATGATGAGGCAGAGGATGAAATGGATGTTAGTAGAATGATCAGATCAATGTTCAAGTAAGCTTTCTAAGTTTTCTATTAGATGTTAGCAACTTGTGTTTTCATTTCTATTACATGAGAAACAATGAACTTACTTTCTCACATGCCTAAAGCTTGCAAGTTGCTGTTGTAGGAATTCATAGGCTACATAATATGCATGTTTCAATTGTTTGACTGTGCGGACTGACCCATATTGGAAAAGTGGGGTAGATCTATAGCTATAAAATATTATTGTTGCAGAGTCAAGTTTGTCTGAAACTTTTTGATTCACCTCGTCTTGACATGCTATTGACTCTTATTTGGGAATGTTGAAATTCCAATACCGAATGCTGTTTGACTAAATATACCCTGCTTGGGATTGTTTGTGCAATGTTTCTAATGTGAATTGGTGATTTAATTGGTTCTTGGTGGTTGTTTTCCTAGCACTGTTATTGGATTATTTCTTATCTAGTTGCTTGTTTTGATAGAATGTTCCACTCTCAGTACTTATGATTTAGAATAGTCAGATAATCATTTTGTTGCATTTTTTGCAGTTACAACCCCAATAAATTTGTTGATGAGGACGACGATGCCGATATGGAGGTTGGCTTTGATGAAATCATGAAGGAGGAAAGGAGGAGGTTGGTTTTTCTAAGCCTAAAATTGAAATCGGATAATTGCTACCATATTCAAATCACACTTTCAGTTGTTTATTTAGTTGAACGACCTAACTTGAAAAGAAAAACCTTTGGGGTGTTTTGAGTTGTCAAAACTGAATCACAAACTTAAGTATTTAAATTTTCTACTCAATACGCCAGACAACTTTTTCTGCAACCTCAAACACCATCCAAAAACAGAAAAAAATCCGTTCCTTTTTTTTTCTTGATACTTTTTTTACGGAAGTAATTTCTTTACCTCTAAGCTCATCTTTTATTCTCTCTCTTTTCCTTCTCTCCCAAAACTGTCGTGTTAGGCAATGAACTTTAAACCACATCGCAAGTTGCGTTGACTTAACTGCCTGAATGCATACTTGCATGGTTCTGTTTTTGCCGTATTTCAATGTGAATTAAAGTTACTCTTCAATTTCTTTCTATAATGGAATCTTCTCTGAAACTAATTTATGTCTATAATTGTATAACACGTATATATTTATTTATTTATTGGTGAATTGCACAACATTTACTTTTTCTCTGTTGCTCGTTGCTTTATTTTTGAATGAAGTGTAGGCTAATATTCTTAAGTATCCTTTTATACTTAATAAAAAGTCTTGAATGAGAAAAATGTATTTAAAATAACGGGAATGAAACATATTCAACACATTCATTAGTAGTAGTTATTGGATTTGGATAATTATAGGATTATTAATTAGGATATACCAACGAATACCCTTAAATATTAAAGAAGACGTACTATCAAATATTTCCTTGCACACAAACGATGAATGGTTGTTGTGTTTTCAGGATAAAAAATTACTCTTGTTTTTTTAACTAATGTTCTGAAGTCATTTGTTAGGATTCTTATAATCTTCTGCAGCGTAGAACTGTCTTTTCATAGTTTTGTTTTGTTGCCTTATAAATGCCGGTGATGTGATTATTTGTATTTAGTTAAATTTCTGGTTATCACTTTTTGGTTTAGGAAGTTTATTTTTTTTAGGGTTAATGAGTTTGTGTAATATTGTGTCGCAGTGCCAAAATCGCCAGAGAGGAGGATGAGGAGCAACTAAGGTTGATACAAGAGGAAGAGGAAAGAGAGCAGAGACGACTATTGGCCAAGAAGCGTAAGCTTGGCCATTAGCGTTCTACAATCAAATCACACTCCATAATTTGCTTTCCATTCCGTGTCAATATTTTTGTTCAGATCATAATCAAATTCCCATCGTCCAGGCTGTTGTTCCATCATTAGATTTGCATTTAGCCAATGCTTCCATGTTGATTAAATAATTTTTTTTTTTGGAAGTGATGTTATCAAAAGGATTATGCTAATTGTATATTTTTTTAACAATATTAATCATACAAATTACAGTTAGTTATTTCTAAAGGAATCCCGTAGTTAATCCATTCAGTTGATAAGAAAAAAGAGGAGAGAGTTATTTCGGAAATATGCTGAAACTATAATAGAGCAATTTGTCTTGGTATCAAGCTTACTCAATGAATTGCATTATTCCCAGCATGTCGGATGAAACTTGTCTTAGAAAGAAAGCCCCAAGTCAAAATAAAACTTGTCTTAGAAAAAGTAGTCATACGAATCCTGAAGTAATTAGTTCGAAAACCTTACAGGGAAAATTAAATTTGTTTTTGACTCGTGAATCACCTCTTGATGATTATATTCTTCGAAATTTTAATATGTTGTGGAGAAAACAGAGGGGATTAAAAATCATAAAGGAATTTTCTAAAGTGATGATTAAAAATGAGAGCAGCACGAATTGAATTTGCTTTTGATTTAAATTTTCACAATTGTCTGGTATAGATGATAGTGCCACAGGTATACTACCAAAGAAATCCCTAAATTTCTTTTACACAGATTGGTTCGATTTGAAGCCATTCAAATCAGTGTTCGTACGTAGATTATGGCATTCAAATTTAAGTGTAACATTGAATAAAAAATATTAAACATTTAAATTTATCTATACTTCTATACTATTTTATATATTATATAAATAAAGAGATTCTCTTTTAGTTTACATATTTTATTATACTTTTTTAAAATAATTAGGTTAAACCCCTTCGAAAAGTTTCTATTTACGTGGGGTTTTTCTAGTTAGATCCTCGTTTTGTTGGTTTCGTCAATTTGGTCCTTAGTATTGAAAAATTGACTCAATTGGGTATCTGCTGTTAAATTGTTTTAACGGGGTTAAGTTTTCGATGACCTGACACGTTGACGTGGTCCGTTTTTGCCACATCACTCTTGCCACATCAACGTCGTCTTCCTCAACAACAGAAACCCTAATTTCTCTCTTAGTAACCACATGGAAATAAGGAAATTCATATTATAATAACCCCAATATTAAACTGAAAAAGAAAATGAATAAGAGGAATGAGTAAATCAAATTTTGTGGGATCTCCTTATTCCTGAAAACATGTATTAAAATATTGAAAACTAATCCGAAACTTTGCAATTTAGTTACACCCTTCATGACCAATCTTCTGCAGAAATCATTTGCTGCATGATATATCAATGGAATTAGACAATAATTATTATGAAAGTCAAATAATGAGAACCTAGAATTTGTTGGTCATACCATTTTTCTGAAAGCATCAATTGAACCAGAGAACTTCGAGTTTTTGTAATCTTTTTGCATCGCAAAAGCCCATCATTCGCCACCATCACTACCGTGAGTTCGTCTCCGTCATTGCGCAAGCAGCGCCTCCCTTGCAGCATCGTGACTTGCAAACACACTCAGAAACCAAGTGCGAGAACTTCATAATCAACCACATCGTTGGAATTGCTCCACCTTCAACCGCAACAAAACCCAGAATCGCGAGAAACCTTGGTTCGTCTTCTCCTCCTTCATCAATCGCCTCACACTTGCAAAGAAGAGGAGAACCCAAAAGAAAAGAGAAAACCCAGAGAATATCAATCTCGCGACTTCCATGCGTGAACACTATGAAACCCCTTTTGTCTTTGTCTTCCTCGAACCCAGCTTCCGTAGAGCCACCAAACCTGCAAACAGAAAATCCTAAAAATAGTAGCCACCCTAAATCGCGAACACCATCGCACCAAAGCGCCAGCCCCAATTCGCACAAAGCACCACTGAAACGATGAACCCTAATTACAGAGAAATTCCCAAATCGCAGAGAAATCCTTCTTCACAAATTTGGTGATAAACCCTAATTTGGTGATGAACACATCAATCGCTAAAGTTGAAGATGGTGAAGGGAGGTTGAAGATGATGAAGGGAGGTTGAAGATGAACCGTAATTTAGGTTTCAATTATCAGAAACTTTATTTTTTTATTTTACATTCCATGTAATTTGCTTGAATGTGCCACGTATAAAAAACTTACCACGTAAACGTGTCAGATCATAAAAAACTTAACCTCGTTAAGCCAATTTAACGACAAGGTCCCAATTGAGTCAATTTTTCAATACTAAAGACCAAATTGGCGAAACCTATAAGACGGGGATCTAACTGGGAAAACCCCACATAAATAGGAACTTTCGAAAGGGTTTAACCTTCATAATTATTTTACCAATTCTTTTTAATTTGTTAAGAAATAAAATATTAAAAACTTAGTAGGAACTCATTCTTTTTGTAAGTTCACTATAATTGTTTAATGGCTAATATATAGTATTAGAGAAAAACACAAAAACTACAACCTACATCTTACAACCTCCTAGAATAGAGAATAACTAGAAAAACATTATTTAAATCCCAAAAATATAGGATTATTCAAAGTTGTAATTAACAAACTTGAAATATTTAAAGTACGAAAAATAATTTAAATCTACAATAGAACTCAAATTAAAGACTTAACAAACTTTAACACTCTCACTTAAATTGAAAATTATATATTCATTTCATAACAACCTTCTTTGCTCCTGTAGGTAACTCTGTTAATTTCCAAATATCACTTTTTTATAGCTTCGATCTCTGCATCCATTCTGCCTTCCATTTCCAAAACGAGTTAGATCATTTGTTGTAAACATGAAAAAATTTGTTACATCTTCTTCCTTTGATAAACTTTTCCTACTAACATCATCTCTCATCTAAGTTGGTTGTTATCTCATTCTTTGTTCAGGTAGCTCTTCACCCAAGTTCGATCCCATCACCTGATCTATTTACCACTTGCTTCTCATTGTTATATTAATCAATTTCAGCCTATCTCCATTTGCAACAATTATTGCATTTGTTTTATTATCATTATTATTATTATTATCCCAATTCAAGTCAACTAAAATAGACTTCTCATTATTTTTACTTCAATTTTAGATGTTGTCTTCTTCAAACACCACATCTCTTTGAAAAATAGGATCATATAATCTATATGACTTTGACTCCTCACTAACTCCAAGAAAAATAAATCTCACACTTTGTCATAAGCTTTGCTCTTTTACAATTAGGAACATGTGCATGTGATATACAACTAAACACTCTGAAGTAAGACAATGATGGTTTGAATCCTCTCCAAGCTTCTTTTGAGGTTTTATTCTTCACAACTAGTATTGTACTCTTGTTGAGAATGTGAATTGTCCAATTAATAGCTTTAGACCATAATGTTTTTGGCAATTTTTGTCTCGAGAGCATACTTCAAGCCATATTCATGATTGTTTGAATCTTCTACAGCTACACCATTATGTTGAGGGTTGTATGGAGCTGTTAACTACCTTTGGATACCATTTTCGTTGCAAAAATTATTGAATTCATGTAACGTGAACTCATGCCATGATATGTACGAAAACCTTTTATGGATAAATCAGTCTTTTTCTTAACTTGATTCTTATGTTTTCTGGAAGTAATGAAAGCTTGTGATTTTTCAGCCAAAAAATACACCTATGTTCTACTACTAAAGTCATCAATAAAGCTAATCATGTACCTTTTTTTGTTGGATATAGGTCTGATGGGTCCATATATATAAAAATGTACCAGTTCAAGAATTTGAGAGACTTTCCATGTGGTTGCAAGTGGAAGTTAATTTCTCTGTTGATTTCTCAAAAGACAAGCAACACACACTTTTGATGAAGTGTCTGTTAGGATACAAACAAAGTATCGAGGAGGAGGTTCACCGAGGAGACACAATACCAATGAGATATGAGTCTAACCATATAAGGGACTGACACCACTCTCTACCAAAAACCTTAAGGTAATGGGTTAATGGGTCTTTCACCTTTATATAGTGTTCTACTTTCTCATTTCTATCTAATTTGGGACTTGGACTCACACTTGGATTCCCAACAATCTCCCCCTCAAGGGTGAGTCCCTTCCACATTGATACAATTCCCTGATGGACAAATTTGTAAGCACCAAAATATGATGTCACAAACTTGTTTCACAATCGGCAAGTATGACCGAATCGTTTCAAGTAATAAACTTGGTAAGACCAAGTATCGTTCTCCCAAAGGACTCACGGCCTAGTTTAGTTATGTGATTTGTTGATTAGCTAAGACTTAAGAACACAATAATTGAAGTTTAATATGCAAAGACGAAAATTAAATATGTATGCATGAATTGATCAATGACAAAGACAAAAG